AAGAGGAAACGATGAATAACTGGGAGACTCAATATCAAATTCGAATAGGTATACTTGTGTATAGTGTTACTTATTCGCGCCACAGCAGATAATATTAGTCACGAGCGTGCAGCGAACCACGCGACACATCATGATGCTACTCAAGCAACAGCAGGTACAATCTCAACCAGCGTCTTGGAGGTACGTGTACTTCCTTCTGATGAGTGTGGTTTTGCTGAGTTGCATTCCTCGAGAAGTGACTCCACTGTTTCTGACTAAAGGCTCAGCTAGTCCAGCCAGCGAGTTCATTAATATCACAGAAGGCAAGACACTGTCTATGAACTGCTCTGCCTCAGGCGAAGATTTACATCAAGTTTGGTGGGGTAAGTCCATTGGATCCGAAGCCACTAATTGGCTCACCCAGAATTCCATCGTTGAGACAAATGTTCCCCGAGTTTCCATTGCAACTCGCTCGTTTGGCGAGCACAGTGCATATTCTTTGCAAATAACCAACATCACCAAATCGGATGCTGGAAGGTACACTTGTCACGCCCAGTGGGGAGGTGCTTACTTGCTTGGATACATCTTTGTATCGGTGCAGTACTTTCCGGCAGAAAACCCAATCTGTGCCACGAATGAAAGCGATGAGATTTCAACCGAAAGCATCGCCGTGTGGTGCGACACTGCGATCGGCAACCCTGAGGTAACCATCACTTGGAGAGTGGACCATTCTGACAAGGAAGGCACAGGTAGCATCTGCAGCACAGAACTACCGCAGAACGAACGCTGCAGCTGCAGAGACTTCAACTGTAGCTGCAGAGACTTCAACTGTAGCTGCAGAGACTTCAAATGTCCAACATTCCAACACTGGAATAATTGCAGCGGCACTGCTCACCCCTATCTTTATGATTGTCGGCTGTGTTCTGGTGATGTGCATCCTGAAACGGAAAAGGCATCGAGACCTCGAGAGTGAGAACACAAATGCAGGAATCTTCGGAGATAGGAGCGACGATGCGACGACCGTTGCCGCTTCTTTAATCCCTGACACAGTTACGGAATTGGTGCATGGGGCCAAGAGGGAAACTACCGCAGTCAGTTAGAAGCAAAACTCCCGGGTCAAAGTTCAGTTGGACACTACTTGCGGATTGGTCACTTACGCAGATGTACCACATATGGATGGGAGTGTGGAACATGGTCTTAGTGTCGTCCCGGACGACACTGTCTGCGACTTCGTCACTCAGGGGACACAGGACGACGACACCGTGTACGAACATGTCAACTATAGCAGCAGCAGCAGCAGCGGTGTCATGGGGACTAAGGGAGGTGACACCGATGTCGTAACGGAAAGTGACATTGACACTTCAAAGCCTGGAGGCACTCCATCGACGACTGATGAATGGATGGTGGATAATCCTATCTATCATCACTCAGCCGTGAATTAGAACAGAAGGTGCATGGCTGATTGTTTCCCGTGAAAAAAAAAATCATGCAGAACCAAAGTTAGAGTCTGCATGATTAGTCACTCAAAGATGGCCCAGTAGGACGGATCATAAAACCGAATTTATAATCGAATACATGTACAAATAATCGATACCAACAAGCAAACTGCACCCGATTTCATGAAACTCTTCGTAACTTCCGATGCATCGCAGCCATGCGACACGTCGTATCCCTACGATACGTCGCAGCTGCGAAGCGTCCTGCGATCCATTTCACAAAACACGTCGTAAGTGCGACGCGTCGTAGGTGAATTGATACCACAAAGAGTCGTCGGATCTCAGCTCAAAATTTGTTAAAACGTAAAACAAAATGGCGGCCGTGCGATGCAATTTTGAAGGAAAACAAGCTCTCATTGGACTGTTTAGCTTCTTTGAAATTTCAACTTTCAATATTCCGGTCTAATTTATAATTATTCAATGAAATTTATATTTACAACTTTACACACATTGCCTCGGTATTATAATCTCGTTAATGTAATGTTTATGGCATAAAACTGGCTTAGAAATGACTCTTCTTATTTTGCGATGACCACTAGACACGTCGGAACTTGTGACGTGTTTTAAGCCGTTGTCAAGGAACTTACGACGCGTTCAACACATCGCAACTTTCGTGAAACGGAAGATACGACGCGTCGCGAGTTGCGACGTGTTGCACGTCGTAACTCGAGTTGCGACGCGTCGCAGCGCTTCGTGAAATCGGGTGCATGAAATAAAATTAAAAATACCGAGGATTCCATTTCAAATAAATCATTTCATTCTCGCCGATAACACGATCCACTTGTTCGTATACGACGTTGTTTAAATCTTCTGATCCTCTGCTCCCTGCGATGTCATCGTCCTGAGACGTCGGCGTCATCGTCTCCTTTGGAATTGTCGTTACTGAGTACGGAACGACTGCAAGTTCCATGTCTGGTGGTTGATTTCCCGCGACTGGTGTGACCGTTTCCCTCTTTTGATCGTTCCTTCGTCTCTTGACTGTCTGTTGACGCTTCCTTATGCACGCCATGGAAATCAGAAAGCCGACAACGATGGCAGGGATTCCCACTGCAGCCGCGAAATATCCCGTCTGGATTTCATCGGTGCCTGCGCGAGTAGGAGGGAAGTCTGATGAGTGACAAATTCCACCAATGAAAATGCCTGATGTCGGGTGCGCTGCATCTGAGGAGGCTCTCGTGGTGATATCTGAAGCAGAGGAAGTCACAGCTGTTGGAGAAATAGAACAGGTCTGGCTCCGGCCCGGAAATGCAGGACTCTTGACCGTACAAACCAGGACCTGCTTCTGCAGCTCTCGGCTAACTTGGTACAAACTCCGGACACATTTCCGTCCGCTGGTATCCGTGCTCATTTCAGCGCTGGTGACCGAGACTACTTGGCCAGTCTCTTCATCCGTCCAGGTGATGTTCACGCCGGGGAAAGCATGCTCAGTCTTGCACAACGCCAAAGTCTGATTAGTGCAATTGCCCGTTGACCAGCAGTTAGGGATATCATTTTGGAAACCTTTCAAAGACACTGTCAACGCACCGTTAGCGTCTGTCATTGCGTTGTTATATGTACTTAGCTTCCATCTAGCCAGGCAAAAGTAATGTCTGGCGTCCGTCACTGCTACTGGACTTATTCGAATAGTGTAATTACGGTAATAAATGTTATTCCTGGTGAAGTTTGCGCTCCTAGATACAGAAACACGAGAATCATCCGTCAGTGTACCTTTGTTTTTGGTCAGATGCACAACACCGCTCTCACTTTCTTTTCCCCACCAGACTTCCCGCAACATGTTCGTTGAGACAGAGCAACGTAGAAGTAATGTTCCACGACCGTAACAGATCCAGTTGGTGGTCTCGGTGAGCTCCGTGTCAGTATCACAACGCCGTCGCCCAAGCCTTCATTGAAACCAAACAATGTCGCAAAAAGAAAGCATCCTAAAACAACTTGCACGTGAGACGGAATGATCACAGATGATTGATTCCGTGCCATATTCACCGCTAGGTTCCCCGATTAAGATGTTGCAAATCTCCACCAAATGTCTCTTTCCGAGCGGTAAATTACTGGAAAGAAGCCGACTGTCCAGGAAGAAAAAGGCTCCGCTACTTTCTTTGTATATATCTTTGTGATGTACTGTCGTACGTTCGTATGTACAGGTTTTGGACTGTGTTCACGTCGGGCCTTTGCTTTTTCTCTATGGACAGAATGGTACAATGCCTGAAGTATGAGCATGGACTCTGAAGACTATATGTAACGTGGTCGGGATACTTACTCATTTGAAATGATATAATCGAATGAGTATTTTCTCATAATTTTGCAAATTACATGCCTGACAGGAAAGGACATTGAAAAAAAATGATGATTTAACGGATATTGTGCGTAAACCTTATCAGTCAGCCGATCACGCTCAATTGACTTCGGCCAAACCGCAAGTCCCATCATAAGGAATAAGTTAACCATGTTAACCGGACCATTTTTTTTCCAAGAGTGTGTATCTAATGTTGTTGGGGAATGGATAGGTCGATACACAATTTGGTTGAGGACTGTGTTTACCGTGAATGTTTATTCCACAACAATATTTTAATACACATTGATTGATTGAACTGGTTACAGTGAACTGAGACAAAGAGAACTGGGTGAACCGAAATAGACTAAGAATGGAAATGGAACGGAATTGGAATTGAAACAGAATTGAAACAGAATGAGATACTGCTAGTGGAGCAGCACGTATATACTGGTGGAAACAGGAAGTCTTGAGAATAAGAAATACTTACGAATGGGAAAACTTAGTCATATCGTGGTTTCCTTGAGTCTCAGAAAAATGACTAGGAATGAGTAATATGGTTCCTCAAAACAATGATCTTGAAAATAACTTGGTCTTACTAAGAAACTGACCAAAGACTTGTGTGTGGGCAGTGAAGGTCATTTGCTCTGTATAAAAGTATAGGGACTACACATTGCATAGGTACTGTGTGGGTGTATGTGTATACAAGGAAAACAATGAGTGATGCATTCAAGAGAATTAATCATTAAAAAGTTCCACAGGAACATTGATAATTAAAGTGTGATAATTAACTAAAAATTAATACGAATTGATAATTGAGGATTGATAATCTGAAAACGCTACAACTTCATGTAAATATCTGCTCGGTCACCATGGCGTCTGCATATTACATCCCTATCCCCTGATGAGATTATGCATGCAGTATATTCCAACAGATACAGAACCAGAATAAAATGGCCGGTTTCGAAGAGCGCTCCAATGTTTGTAAACTTGGTACCAGCCCAGCCCCCCCCCCCCCCATTTGATTTTACGGAGGCCAAGTGTCCGTTGAAATAAAACATGTCGACATCAAGTTCAGAACGGATGTGCCCCCCCCCCCCAAAAAAAATCTTGATACGCTGCTACACCAACGGAAGATGCCTTTTATTGAGCAAGTGCCCCGGTGATGCGACTGTAACCGGTCAGTCCAAAAATTCAACCCCCAAAAGTGGGTGCAGTACATTTTGTTTTCGTCCTTGACAAATGTATATAAACAGGCAATTGTTTTCAACTCAAGTTGATCAGTATGAAACTGTGCCACCCCTCTAAGTAAGTCTCGTGACCAAAATGTAATCGCCCATCGGGATTACGTCATTAGCATTCTATCCGATTCTCATTTCTAACCCAGGCTTGTGCTGAATGCACATTATGCAAATAACGTGTTTAGAAGATTTCCACTCAGACTCCAGCCCTATTGTTACATTCATGCCTCGCTGATCACCATGGTACAGCGACCTAGCGTGCACGGGCTTTATCTTAAGCTGTTGTTTCGGTGCTGGGCTAGGCCTTCATTACTGTCGTTGTGCTCCTCACGCTCACTGCATGCAACTCATTACACTGTTCAAAATTATCATTTTGGCTCTGTATGAAATTGTTTATTATCATTGAACGTGCGCATTGTGTCCAATTTATATTGTATTAACGAAGACATCGTTACCATTTTCTCCAAGATCAACACCAAGAGGGGCGATGTCTTCAAGAGTAGAAAGAGGTACGTTACATGTCTCTGATTAATGTACATGTGTAGAGTTTTGTCACCTGAAACAGAGAACTCCTTAAATTTCATTGGATGTTAAAAAACGTTTACATGGAAGATAAATTACAGCAGAATTAAGGTTAACGAAAATGATTATTTAATTCAATAATAATGCAATGCAAATAGGAATTTGACACGTGCAGTGACATTGTGTTCGCACGTGTGTTAATTTGCATATAGGAATTTATAATTTACGTGCAGTGACATTGCGTTCGCACGTTGAGTATAACATTTGCATAGAAATTCGTCTGAAATGGGCAATGACATTGTGTTCGCACGTGGGGAGAAAATACAATTTCGAAAGAATTCGTCAGACACGTGCAGTGACATTGTGTTCGCACGTATTTGCATAGGAATTTGATACGTGCAGTGACATTGCGTTCGCACGTGGAACAGTTGAAGGGTAGCATTCCAGTAGAAGATTTTTTTTTCCAAATTGGTGTCCCTGAATAATTAAACTCACTAATTTACACCAGTATTTTCAATGATAAACCTGTGACAGCGTCTCCTTCATTGTCATATTGACTTGCAGGTCTTATGTAACTCCCTTTATGGAGAAAGTTAAAAGACGTTCTCCACCTCAGTCTCAGAAACTAAAAAATAAATTGAAACAATATAAAACCTAGTCAATATTCTGTGCAAAACGTTGGTGCAAGTCATGCAAACAATTAATTCGGTTTTTGTAGGTCAAGTTGGGAGGAGTGCAGACGCTGCAGGCGTGCATTATGCAGCATCCGCAAAGCAAAGCAGCTGCTGGATCTGTAGGAGTGTTATGATAATGTTAGTTATAAGCATTTAGATTCGTCGAAATATTCTCATAGGCGTTTCGAAACCTCCGCACCGCGTTCTATCGCTTTTACGTTCGACAGTAAGGCATATTCATACGTAGCCCCATAAATGTGGCCTATTTACTGGACTGCCTCCGTAAACATAGGCCACACATCCACATGTACAAAAATCGTGTCGACGGAGCCAAATTTTGATTTTCACATTTAGGCTTAGTTTGTAGGTTTTTTTTGCTTTAGAAGCATACTCACCCTCTTTATAGGCTAATCAGAAAGTGCTGCCTTTTTCAGATGTATATTTTTCGTGAAATTTCCAGATTCATTTTTACACGTTTGCGTATCAAAATTTCAACATGAAATTTCACAAAAATTAGACATCTGAAAAAGGCAGCACTTTCTGATTAGCCTGTAAAGAGGGTGAGTATGCTTCTAAAGCAAAAAAAACCTACAAACTAAGCCTAAATGTGAAAATCAAAATTTGGCTCCGTCGACACGATTTTTGTACATGTGGATGAGTGGCCTATGTTTACGGAGGCAGTCCAGTAAATAGGCCACATTTATGGGGCTAATTCATACGTAATGTTCGGCAAACACGTGTGTTTTTTTGTGGCTAGACCGGAGACGGTTTGGTACGAAGACCATGAAGGGACATGGGAGTTATTAAGGGTTTTTTTTTCATAATACTATTACGTATGTGATACTGTCACTTGAATATTATCACGTACGTAGGTAATATTATCACGTAGGGCCCACGTGATAATTATTACGTACGTAGGGCCCACGTGATAATTATTAAGTACGTATACACAACGTATACTCGTTTAAGGATACACGTATTATCACTTACATATGCAATACATGTACGTACGTAATATGTACTTATTTATCAGGTATGTACGCAATAATAATACTAATATTGCGTTAGTACGTAATATTATATTATCACGTACGTATGTGATCAATTATATGTATCACGTACGTACGTTATGATTGTCATATGTATAGAAGTAGGCCCTGAATAAGAACAATATGTTCATCTCCTCTTGGTCTTCGTACCCACGTATCCACATATCCGCGTACCTGCGTAATCGCGCGATTTCGTGTCCCATACTTCGAAGTGATAAAATCTAGGGAACTGTTTTAGCAAAGTGCAATGAACAGTGTTAGGGAAAATGAAGCAAACGAAAATTAGGGAGCAAGCATAGCCCGCTGCGAGCATGCGCACTTTGAGCCTGCAGGCACTGCGATGGGGAGTTTAGAAGTTTTCTAAACAAATAAATAAAAAAAAAGTATAAAAATAACACTAACTTAATGCAAACGAAAATCAGTCTAATGATTAACACTGTCCCCCTAAACTTGAAAGTACTGGTGTATTTTATTTTATATTCGCTATTAAGAAACTTCACTCGCAAATTTATAGTCGATTTTGTAGTTGATTGAGAGTCATTTTGTGATGTTTTATCGATCAACTGGAATGCTGCCCTCTATACGGACATTGGCTGGTACTTTGCCCAACTCAAAACAATAATTAAACAAACTTAGTAAAACAACTACAGAAAGTGGCAATGCCTGGTGTGTTGTCCACCAACGACGATATAATTTCTTTATAATTGTATAAAATGTTTAAGAACAAACAAGATTCATAAAATCTAGGCCATCGGCAATTAACAGTCACCATGCCTGGTGCAGTGTCACTTGTAAGGGATACCCTCTTCGGTGCATATTAGTAGCGCCGATTTCCAAGAGGCCCCTTCCTTCAGAAGGACTTGAACATTAAAACTTAAACCATTTAAAAAAAAAACACGGAAGGACGTTACCACAGAGAAAATGTTGGTTAATAATTAACACTAATTCCTAAATGAGCTCTCTGTTTAGGTGACATATACGCTCTTATAGTAACACTAAAAGGTCAAAAATGTGGGATTAACAGCGTCTGTAAAAGCGCCGCATTGTCTATACTTCGCTAGTCTGTGAGCAGTGAGGGCACAGTTGACAGTTGACCATATTTTAATGATCGTAGTAAAATCAAAAGTCATAACTTTGGTTAATTATACTTTGCATAAATTTATATAAAAGACATTTTTTTCTGTGAAGAGCTTTTAAGCTCGGTCCATTATTAAGTATTTAAAGATAAAATTATCTGTGAGTAAAAGAATGCTTACAGAGAGAATGACTTTTGGGGGAAAAACTCAAAAGTAGATTGTATTTTGTTTCATTGTAAATGTTGCATGTTTGATTTTTTGCCTTTGTGTGCATTGCTCTCTGTGTGGTGTGATTTTTTAATGGTATCCGTCTGTTGTCTCTGACAATAGACAAAATTAAAAAAGTTTAAATCAAATTAATCGTTGCGGCTACAAAAATGTCAAATCGTTAAGCAACTTTAAAATGTTAGGCAGTATGGGAATAAATAATACCCACCCGGATATTTACTTGACTACGCGTATGACGAAAACTGAAAACAAACTTCAAATCGGTCCAAAATAAATTGTAGCGAAAATCACATCGTCAGCGATTTTTTTTTCCGAAAAAAAAACAAAATCACTCCGCTTTCTACGTGTAGGCCTACACGCTAGGAAAATGATGAAAATAATGCGAGGAAAACATCACAGCGTTAGTGAGAGTAAAAATACCCGAAATCAGTATAATTTTTATTGCCACAAAGTAAACAAAATGGGTTATGGAAATAACAATCAAAATGACGAAAATAACGGCATAAAAATTAATCATCCGCAACGAGAGAAGTAAATACATGTACATGTACTTGCCTCAAAAAGTCGGAAAGCGAATTTTGGCAAACGGTGGGAAAATGACGGCAGCAAAAGAAAATGAAATTGACGAAATTACGAGAAAAAATATCACACCATAATGAACAAAATATCTGTTTAGAAAATGACTGAATTTCAGTTATATACAGCGGCATTTCAAAAACATCAAAATTGTTGGCATTGTCGAGAAGTGCCTTCAAAAAGACTTAACCCCCCCCCCCCCACCACCAAAAAAGGGTACAACTTATTGGCAACCTGCCGTTATCGGTGTCGGCACATGTTTGTGTGCATTATGACAAAAGAAGATCATGTCTGTTTTTAAAAATAAAAAGTGGAAACATGGGTAGAATCGTTTAGTTTCTATTTGGTAACAAGTGGCCTTAGTACAAGTAGGCTTAGACATACTGCTTTGGAATGTTTCACTTCAGTAACAAATGGGCTAGGCCCAGCGTTTTCGTAACCCTGTTCACTTAGGAAAGAGTTGCAGCTTTCTTCAAAGAAACTGATGATCTAAAAGTTGAGACTGCATGGATGAGCTAGGCTGCTTTGTCTGGACGAAAATCAACCCTCCAAGGCTCCAACAGCCTCATCACACAGAAACTCGAGGAACCGGAAGCAGGGAGGAGGACCGACAGATGAACGGATGGCCTGCTTGCTAGGCTACCCATTACTGATTCTTGAGGTTAGTTTACATGTTGGCCTCCTCTTCGCAGGATCAATCAAGTCACAGAACTCATCAAAATGGGCGATCTGACTCTGTTATAATGTTCTTCCACAAACAACGAGTTCTGGTAGCAGGCTTTGCTTTGTGGGGTTAATTCAATGTTTTCTTTCCCCTTTCTAGCCCTGGCACGAATACAGCTCAATAATTCAAATGTTTTCTTTTGTATCCTTTCAGAAAAATGAGGACCACTGACTGATGAGGGAATTGCTTTACTGAGATTAATGAGCCTGCCTGAAGACATCGTCAGGGCTCCAACAGCCTTATCACACAAACTCGAGGAACCGGAAGCGGGGAGGAGGACCGACAGATGAACGGATGACCTGCTTGCTGGGCTTCCCATTACTGACTATCAGGTTTGTGTACATGTAGCCTACTTAAACAGAAACAATCAAGAACTAATCAAAATGGGCGATCTGGCGCTCTTCTATATTCGTCCACAAACAACGAGTTCTGGTAGCGGGGCTTTGCTTTGTGGGGTTATTCAATGTTGTCTTTCCCCTTTCTAGCCCAGGCACAATTACAGCTCAATAAATTGAATGTTTTCTTTCGTCATTTGAATCCTTTCAGAAAAATGAGAACCACCGACTGATGAGGGAATTGCTCTACTGGGATTGATGAGCCTGCCTCAAGACATCGTCAGGGCTCCAACAGCCTTATTAAACAGAAACATGAGGAACCGGAAGCAGGGAGGAGGACCGACAGATGAACGGATGACCTGCTTGCTGGGCTTCCCATTCCTGATTATTAGGTTAGTTTACATTTAGGCCTCCTTTTAACAGGAACAATCAAGTCACAGAGCTAATTTAAATGGGCGATCTTACTCTGTTATTATGTTCGTCCACAAACCAGTTCTGGTAGCAGGATTTTGCTTTGTGGGGTTAATTCAATGTTTTCTTTCCCCTTTCGAGCCCTGGCACGAATACAGCTCAAAAATTCAAATGTTTCCTTTTGTTATTTGAATCCTTTCAGCAAAGTGAGGACCACTGACTGATGAGGGAATTGTTCTACTGAGATGAGGCTGAGCTTGGCTCATGACATCGTCGGGGCTCCGACAGCCTCATCAAACAGAATCCCGAGGAACCGGAAGCAGGGAGGAGGACCGACAGATGAACGGATGACCTGCTTGCTGGGCTTCCCATTACTGATTCTTGAAGTTAGTTTACATGTAGGCTTCCTCTTAGTCACAGAACTCAAAATTGGTGATTGGCGCTTTTCTGTGTTCCTTTCACATCGAGTGCTGGTATAGCGCTGTGTTGCTTTGTGGGGTAAAAATCGATGTTTTCTTTCTCCTTGCACATATTTCTTAATAATATTTCATATTTTTTTTTCGTCCTTTGAATCCTTGCAGAGAAATGAGGACCACTGACTGATGAGAGAATTGTCTTACTGAGATGAGGATGAGCCTGCCTCAAGCCATCGTAAGCTGGGAGGACCGATGATGGACTGACACCGCCTGCTGGCCTGGCCATTACTGATTCTTGAGGTGAGTTTACTTTGAAAACGAAAAAAGACCAGGGTATGAGGATTATAATTTGTTATTCCTCTGATTGTAGTTTGTCCCTCCTACGAAATCCACAGTGCTTGATTTCCTAATATATGTATTTTTTTTTAATTTCCTTGGTTATTTTGTCATGTTTAGGACATGAGGACCACCAAGCTTGGACGAGACTGGACAATGACGAAGCTGCTCTACTGGACAAGGATGCCCTCATCGGAAACTTGAGTTAAAAAAACTAGCTTGCACAATATGAAATGATAAATCAGACTGCATAATGCAACGTCATTAATGTTATACATTAAGGCAACAACACTAAAATAAAATGAAAACTAATTTTGATTTCATTAAATTATTTATGCCTCTTAAATAATCTTAAACCGGATACTGCAACAGACAGTTAACAATGGACAATAATGGAAACTTGCTGAAAAATTATTGTAAGGTTAATAATTTGTCACTGGCTTTTTAGCAGTGACATGTCTGGGAGAAGGGATGTTCCTTTGATCTGTCCTGGGTCATCCAAAATTATTGCATCTTTAAGTTAATAATTTCATACTCCTTACCTTTAATGCATTCAATTGGATCTTCTCGGTAAGTTATTAACGAGGTCTTGCCTAAGGCTTTCTATCAGCTTTTTGTTCAGTTGACAATGGAGAATTTTGCTCTATAAATTTAATTTGATATTGAAAGTGCATTTTTAAGAAAACCAATTTAAGTAATATGTGTTTTGAAAGATTTCAAAAAAGATTAATTTATTGTTTAAAAACTGAAGAAATGTAACAAACTTTATTTAAATTTAACGTTTTTAACAAGACGTTGGTTTAACTAAAACGTGACTTCCTTTCCATTGTATATTTATTAGAAAACACAAGAACGTTTAATTTTTAGGAAAATTTAAAGATAAACTGTTTAGGAACTTCTAGCCATCAAAATGCATTGCAACAGGTATAAGTGACACTCAAATTACATTTGCGTTTGTCCTTTTGTGATTTATTTCATTGCACTTTTTTTTACTTGTATTTTTTACTTCGTATGCACAATTGTTTTTCTTGGTGGTTTTGCATGTCTTTTCATTTTCTTATTAATAATTAACTAACCTCACAAAAGGATCAACGCAATTATATCGAGTGTTGAACTTGCCTCGCATCAAATATTTTTTTTCACATAAAAGCTAAATTAAACAAAATATAGTCCTGAAATGTTTCAAAATAATCTGGGAAATTTTTTTGGGAGGGGGGGCATTCCCAAGTTTTATCTTCCCTTTTTAAAATCTTATTCACAAAATGGCGAAATACAAAAACCTGGCTTTACCGTGTACAGTCATGTAGTCGTTGCTTATGTAATAATCATCTATGATATTATAAAGTGATTATTAATTTCTCAAATTTATTGGCCTTCTGCCAAACTTTTTTCCTCATTTGGAATCTTTTGTATTTGTTTGTATGAATTGGTTAAAACATTTGTATGTCAATAAGACTAAGGAATTAAACAAAATAAATAAAACTTGAAAGATGTGAGACACTTGATATCCTTGGAAGGTTGTCAGTATTTTACCTATTTTTGTTTTAGTTGTTGGCGGGGAAGGTCAAGCTACTACAAAAGTAAGGGGTGATTGGGGGCGGGGTGCACACATACAGGCACGTCAGGGAATATAAAATAATTAGGTGTTTTTGTAAGGGAAATCTTTACTCTTAAACGGAAATTAAAAAAAATCTCCTAGGCTCCTAGGTTCTACCTTTTAAGATTGTCCAACAAAAATACCCAAATTTGCATACGCCGGACAAATCACAATTTGCATGCCCCCATGGGCTTTTAAAAGGAACTTTTGCAAATGGGAAAGACACTTTGGAAACATCCAATCAGTTTGAATATGCTTCATGAATGTCTGAATAAACGAGCACATTTTTAAACGAGGAAATAATAAACAAGACTACAGGCAAGTCTGTCGCAAACCAACTTGGTATAAGTGGTCAAGTCATCGGACTTACTTTGGGGGCCAAGGAGAGGCTTAAACAAGTCTAATAAAGGATGAACATCTTGATCGTAACAATACAGTGTTTAAAGTGCGACAAATGCAATTCGAATGAAAATCAATGTGTATTTTTCGCGTGTAAAACACTAATTTGTTGCGATCATATTATTTGTTATAATGGGACTGTTTCTCATGATATTCAATACCCCTCTGTTTACACATCGTGGAAATTAATTGCACGAAATTTCAGTTTAATACTTCTTGTATTTCTTGATTTATTGATCGGAAACTGAGTTGTTATTCTTGTTCAATAGTGCAGCATCCGCACTTATATTCTTTTATTTAATAGAGGGCGCGCCACATAAATAGTGGTCTCGATAATAATCCACCACCAAACTCGTTTGGGGACAACAACTCCAGAAATAAAAGATGTTTTACATTGAATTCTCGTCTAGTGATTCGTCATTATGTTTAACAGAACAACATTTAATTTCATAAGAAAACGTGAAACAATGAAGCAATATTGACCGTAACAATACAGTGTTTTAAGTGCGACAAATGCAATCCGAAGGAAATCAATGTGTATTTTTCGCGTGTAAAACACTACATTGTTACGATCATATTATTTTTTATCGTTAGTCAGTTTCTCATGATATTCAATACACCTCTGTTACACATCGTGGGAAATAATTGCACAAAATGTCAGTTTAATACGTCTTGTATTTCTTGAGATATTGATCGGAAACTGAGTTGTTATGAGTTGTTTTTGTTCAATAGTGCAGCATCCCTACCGATATTCTTTTATTTAATAGAGGGCGCGCCACGTAAAATAGTGGTCTCGATAATAATCCACCACCAAATTCGTTTGGGGGGCAACAACTCCAGAAACACACGATGTTTTACATTGAATTTTTGTCTAGTGATTTGTCATTATGTTTATCATTACGAAATTTAATTTCATAAGAAACCGTCAAACATTGAAGCAATGTTGACCATAACAATACAGTGTTTTAAGCGCGACAAATGCAATCCGAATGAAAATCAATTTGTATTTTTCGCGTGTGAAACACTACATTGTTACGATCATATTATTTTCATTATGAGACTGTTTCTCATGATATTCAATACCCCTCTGTTACACATTGTGGGAAATAAATGCACACAATTTCAGTTTAATACGTCTTGTATTTCTTGAGTTATTGATCGGAAACTGAGTTGCTATTTTTGTTCGATAGTGCAGCATCCGCACCGATATTCTTTTATTTAATAGAGGGCGCGCCACATAAAAAGTGGTCTCAAAAATAATCCACCACCAAACTGGTTTGGGGGGGGGGGGGCAACAACTCCAGAAATACAAGATATTTTACATTGAATTTTCGTCTAGTGATTTGTCATAATGTTTAACATTAGGAAATTTAATTTCATAAGAAACCGTAAAACAATGAAGCAATATTGACCGTAACAATACAGTGTTTTAAGTGCGACGAATGCAATCCGAATGAAAATCAATGTGTATTTTTCGCGTGTAAAACACTACATTGTTACGATCATATTATATTTATTATGGGACTGCTTCTCATGATATTCAATACCCCTTTGTTACACATCGTGGGAAATAAATGCTCAAAATTTCAGTTTAATGCATCTTGTATTTCTTGAGATATTGATCGGAAACTGACTTGTTATTTTTGTTCAATAGTGCAGCATCCGCACCAATATTCTTTTATTTAATAGAGGGCGCGCCACATAAATAGTGGTCTCGATAATAATCCACCACCAAACTCGTTTGGGGGGCAACAACTCCAGAAATACAAGATGTTTTACATTGAGTTTTCTTCTAGTGATTTGTAATTATGTTTTACATTACGAAATTTAATTTCATAAGAAACCGTCAAACATTGAAGCAATATTGACCGTAACAATACAGTGTTTTAAGCGCGACAAATGCAATCCGAATGAATATCAATGTGAATTTTTCGCGTGTAAAACACTACATTGTTACGATCATATTATTTTTATCGTTGGACTGCTTCTCATGATATTCAATACCCCTCTGTTCCACATCGTTGAAATTAATTGCACGAAATTTCAGTTTAATGCATCTCGTATTTCTTGAGTTATCGATCGGATAGGCTGAGTTGTTATTTTTGTTCAATAGTGCAGCATCCGCACCAATATTCTTTTGTTTCATTGAGGGCGCGCCACATAACATAAAAAAGCGCCACTTTCGAGCTCCATTGCATCCAAAATGCTCAAAATCGGAAATCCCAAGTCTGGGCCAGAGGTTCATTGCCATATTTTTTCCAATTCCCCAATTTTATGCCTCTCAGAACTCTCTGATATAAAATATTTTGAGTGTATAACTCTTATTCATGAGCTCGGCGGATGGGTTTAGGCCTATTAACAGGTGTGCACCCTTACACGTCAATTTCCTTCAATATATAAACCCCCATTCTTTGGCGGTTCCTGTCAATTTTCAATAACTGTGTTTACATCTCGAACGGCCAGACGTAGGTCGGATCAGCGCGGTGAGCAATGTTTGTGTAGCGCGCCCTCTTTGTAAGAAATTGTTGCATGACGAGAAAATACGGAGTGTCCTTCATACTGCGATTTCCTTAAATTATATTTGATTCAGTTTTGGCGGTTCCTGTCAAGTTTCTAGATTTTCTTGTCAAATACCAAGACAAAATATTACAGGAAATTTCAATGCAAAACAATGTGTTTATCTTGAGTTCCCAATTTCACAATAACTGTGTTGACATGAGGAGAAAATAGGGAGTGTCCTTCATACTGCAATTTCCTTAAATTATATTACATACATTCTTCGGCGGTTCCTGTCAAGTTTCTAGATTTTCTTGTCAAATACCAAGACAAAATATTACAGGAAATTTCAATGCAAAACAATGTGTTTATCTTGAGTTCCCAATTTCACAATAACTGTGTAGACATGACAAGAAAATACGGAGTGTCCTTACGGGTGCAACAGTGCATTAAAATTCCCATAGACACTGGTGCTAAATGCCCATACTTCTACATTCTTTTTAAAAAATACTCAGAACTCTCACATGTATTTAAGCTGCAGAGAGAAATGGCGATCAATATGTCATCTTTTATTTTATTTTCAATTTTTGGTGGGTTGACCATTGACTCGTCGAGAAATTCTCACCCAATTCTCAGAAATTTCATTTTTTGGCAAAAATTGAACAAAATGCAAGGGGTTAGCCTTTTCTCAAAACAAGGCAGAAATTCTGAATGCAAGATGCAAGAGGATGCAAGAGTAACATCAATCAACACTCTAAGACACATAATTTTGAAGATTTGGGCAAAAATCGTCAATTTTTGGAGAAAACAAGTTATTTTTTGAGCGATTTTACCTTAATTTTTCGACAGAATTTTCACTTCAATAGCACATCTGTCCAGCAATCGATTTGAATTGCGTTCTAGGGGCCCTGAGGGCATCTTTCTAGCAACTTTCAAGAAATTTCATTTTTTGGCCAAAATTGATTAAAATAGTCAAAATCTGCCAAAAATTGATTTTTCTCAAAACAAGGCAGAAATTCATCTGGATGCAAGAGGAACATCAATCAATACTCCAACACACATAATTTTGAAGCCTTGGCCATAAATCGTCAATTGTTTTAGGCAAAAAAGATATTTTTGAGCGATTTTACCTTAATCTTTCGACAAAATTTCCCCTTCAATAGCACATCTGTCCAGCAATCGATTTGAAATGCGTTCTAAGGCCCTTCAGACATCTTTCTAGCAACTTTCATGAAATTTTATTTTTTGGCCAGCATTGAAAAAAATGCAAGGGGTTAGCCTCACATTTTAAGCCAAAATCGGCAAAAAATTGACTTTTCTCAAAAAAAGCCAGACATTCATCTGGATGCAAGAGGAACATCGATCAATACTTTAACACACATAATTTTGAAGCCTGGGCCAAAAATCGTCAATTGTTTAAGGAAAGAAGTTATTTTAGAGCGATTTTACCTTAATTTTTTGACAGAATTTCCCATTCTATAGCACATCTGTCCAGCAATCGATTTGAAATGCGTTCTAAGGCCCTTCAGGCAACTTTCTAGCAACTTTCAAGAAATTTCATTTTTTTTCAAGGTTGGCCAAAAAATGAAATTTCTTGAAAGTTGCTAGAAAGATCCCCTTAGGGCCTTAGAACGCATTTTAAATCGATTGCTGGACAGATGTGCTATAGAATAGGAAATTCTGTCAAAAAAATTAAGGTAAAATCGCTCAAAAAATATTTTTTTACTAAAAAAATTGACGATTTTTGCCCAAATCTCCAAATGTATATGTGTTAGAGTACTGATTGATGTTCCCTTTGCATCCAGATACATTTCTGCATTGTTTTGAGAAAAGTCAATTTTTGGCCGACTTTGACTAAAAATGTAAGGTTAACCCCTTGCATTTTTTTCAATTTTGGCCAAAAAATGAAATTTCTTGAAAGTTGCTAGAAAGTTGCCTGAAGGGCCTTAGAACGCATTTCAAATCGATTGCTGGACAGATGTGCTATAGAATGGGAAATTCTGTCAAAAAATTAAGGTAAAATCGCTCTAAAATAACTTCTTTCGCGTCAATCCCATCAAGTTAGCATTTCCCCACTCGACGTGTACCTTCCAGTATCCGATGAGGTGATGTCAGTTATTTGCAAAGAATATGCGCTAAGCTCGCCAAACGAGCGAGTTGCAATGGAATCATTTGTGTGAACGATGGCATTCTCCGTTAGCCAATTAGTGTCTTCGGATCCAATTGCCCCATCAAACTCGATGTAAATCTGTGTCCGAAGCGGAGCTGTGCATTATTGCCTTGCCTTGCCTTCTTTGATATGAATGGACTCACTGGCTGGCCTAGCTGAGCATCTTGTCAGGAGGAGGGGTATCACTTTTCCAGGAAAGCAACCCAGGTCACACTCATCACCAGGAAGTACGCGTACCTGCAAGACGCTCGCTGAAATTCTACCTCACCATTACCTCCATTCCGACTCACGTGAGATTGTATTGTTTAGTAGCTAAAGGTATGCCACAATTGAAAGAAAAGAATGCAATTCCTGCCTGCGTGCCCCTATAAAAGGCCCAACCACAGGCATGCTCACCAGTGTATTTTTAGTGGCTATCGCGTGTACATCGGTGCGTTTTCACGCAGCGCTCTAGCCAGTCACATTGAAAGTTGGACCACGAGCGTGGCCAGTAGTGTAGCAATGGCAGATGAAGCCATATTGCATATTAACCCCTCGGAAGACGAGGGCCTCATGGGTCAACTGGATGACGAGTTGTCATTTCTCACGCAGCTACCAATAGCGGAGACTGCATGCTCATCTTTAAGCAAACCAACGCCACCGGCGCCAGCAGCTAAAGCCAAGAAGCGAACTGCTAAGCGTAAGAATATAGATCAAGCAAATTCATGTACGCTGAACGAGCCGCCTAGTGCCGCGAAGAAAACTAGCAGCGACGATTCGGACTTGCACAAAGCAGTTTCTAGCTTGCAGCAAACAGTTGCTACTTTGACAAATGCGTTTTTGCACCGCAGCGATTCCGGTTCTAGCCATTACGCTAACCGCTTTCCAACTGAGGAAATATTAAGCAAGGGTGAAATCCCTGATGATAATTTGGTGGCATTAAACCTTGCAACGGAAACGGGCAATGACAACGCAATTGTTGGCAATAGTTATGTACATGTACCTGAAAAGGGCATAGACACTTTCACTGAAGGTGATTTAGATAACCTGTTGTGCGATACTGGCAACCAGGATGACTTGCTGACCGAAATGGCGGCCTTAATTGAGGGTGACGAAAAAGAAAGTTCAGCCCTAAATGACCAATTGGCTAAAACAGTAAATGCACTTGCTCAAGGCAAGATAAAGCCAGAAAAACTAGAAGAAAAATTGGGCAAATACAACAAACCAAGCAACTGCGGTAATCTTTGCCTAACTAGAGTGAACCCTGAGATATGGTCAATCCTAAAACCCACAACACGTGCAAGGGATGTTAAATTCCAAAAGGTGCAAAGCTCTTTTGTACGGGCATCAATAGCCATCGCAATGGCCACTGATCAAATGCTAAAAGCCAGAAATAACAATGAGACTATTGATACAGCTCAGCTTATTAGAATGCTGGTTGACGCAATTGCCATACTTGGCTCGGGCAACGCCCAACTCAACTTGCGCAGAAGAGACAGTATCCGACCTGATCTCAACCAAAAATATGCGGCCTTGTGCTCATCGCAAGTCCCGTGCACTAGTCTCCTTTTCGGGGATGACTTAGTTCAGTCATGCAAAACTATAGTGGAGACAAACAAAATAAGTTCACAGATGTTTGTAAATGACCCCAAACGTCGTAATACTAGACAGTTTTCAGGCCGTGGATCATCCCACCGTGCGGGGGACTTTCGCTCACGGGGTTTCCCGAAACAGCATTACGGCAGCCACCAGAGGGCACCTTATTACCCGAGAGGCCGAGGCTACTATCGTCGAGCACAGAGTCAGGGCCAGGGTTATTACCGTTCCGGCGGCAGCAGCGGTCATGGCAGTGGCAATTACCACCAAACCCCAAGCCAATCCACCAGCACCGGGGCCTCGACAGCCAAGAAAACGGTGACCTAGCGGCACCATTACAGTTGGTAAGTGAGTATACATCACCTATTGCTGGAAGATTGCAACAGTTTATCCCTGCTTGGGAAAACATAACCTCTGATGAATGGGTGCTAGATACAGTTGCACATTGCCATATCGAATTTAATCGCACTCCGGTCCAGGCAAATGAACCTAAGCTTATTCAATACTCTGACCCGGAGGCGCAACTGATTGACGAAGAAATTCAAAAATTACAAGAAAAAGGAGCGATTATCAGGGTCAACCCCTGTCACGGACAATTTTTGTCCAACATTTTTCTTCGACCAAAGAAAGACGGCTCAATGAGACTCATTATCAATCTAAAAGCTCTAAACAAATTTGTCAAATATCACCATTTTAAAATGGAGACCTTTGAATTTGCACTGACATTGATTCGGACAAATTGCTATTTAGCATCAATAGATTTGAAGGATGCATATTTTACGATACCCATGGCCCAGGAACATCAGAAGTTCTTACGGTTTCAATGGCGAGATAAACTGTGGCAATTTAAATGCTTATGCTTTGGGCTTGCTAGTGCACCTCGTATCTTTACAAAGGTCATGAAACCACTCACATCAACATTACGTAATGCTGGCCAAATTTCGGCAAATTATATTGATGATTCATTACTTATTGGTGACACATTACAGGAATGCACCAGTAACATTGCAGCTCGTTGTGCACTGACAAATGAACTTGGGTTTGTGATTAATCAATCAAAGTCACACTTTACCCCAGTCCAAGAATTGGAGTTTTTGGGATTCACCATTAATTCAGTAGAAATGACAGTGCGTTTACCGCCTCGCAAATTATCAACCGCGGTTGAGGCATGCCATGAACTCATAGGACAGTCGAACCCGACAATTCATCGGGTGTCACAGGTCATAGGAAAACTTGTGTCATGTTTTCCAGCGGTCCCACTTGGGCCTTTATATTACCGAAGTTTGGAAGTGAGCAAAAACATCGCTCTGAAAAAATGTCATGGAAATTACAAGGCCAAAATGCCTCTCACTGCAAGCAGTAAGTCCGATTTGCAATGGTGGATACAAAATTTACCATATAATTTTCGACCAATATTACCCCGTGTAACAGACATCGAAGTGTTTACTAATGCTTCCCTCATGGGTTGGGGAGCCTCTTGTCCAAAGGCTAACATTCAAACTAATGGCCGTTGGAATTTGCATGAAGTAAGGTTTCATATTAACTATCTAGAACTCCTTGCGGTTTTTTATGCTCTAAAGTCATTTCAAACTGACATTCAGAACAGAACTGTGTCCATTGCAATGGACAATGTCACAGGAGTTTCATATATAAACCACATGGGAGGTTGTCATTCAGCTGAACTGAATGACTTGGCCAGACAAATTTGGTTTTGGTGCATCCAACATGACATTTGGTTGATTGCACGCCATATACCTGGTGTACAAAACACTTGTGCAGACACCTTGTCACGATCCTTTAAGGATAATCTGGAATGGAAACTAGATGCCAATATTTTTAACAAAATCATATCAACATTGGGTGTCACACCAAGTATTGATTTATTTGCGTCCAAAGCCAATTATCAATTTAAGCCATTTGTGTCATGGCTGCCTGACCCAGAGGCAGTTGCATGTGATGCGTTTACAATGTCTTGGGCGAACGAAATATTTTACGCATTTCCTCCTTTTGCTGTCATTGACAGGGTATTGCAGAAAATCGAGGTAGACGGAGCCATGGGAATACTTATATTCCCATTATGGCAAACCCAACATTGGTTTCCCAGAATGCTGCGCCTGTTGATAGCTACGCCAGTAACACTACCAAAGACATACGGGTTGTTGAGACTACCACACGATCCACACAGTCGCCATCCACTAGAGGGCCGAATGACAATGTGTGCTTCACTCTTATCCAGCAGTCGCTCCGATCAAGAGGATTTTCGAAGGAAACTATTGACATTATCCTCCAATCATGGAGACCGAGTACCAAGAAGCAATATGCATCATCCATCGAAAAATGGCTACGTTTCTGCACTAAACGGGCTGTCGATCCAGTTCATGCGACTGTAACCGTGGCAATGGAGTTTCTCACCAAGTTAGTTCACTCTGGGGCAAAATACAGCACTGTTAATACAGCACGGTGTGCATTGTCATCACTGCTTTGGTCAACGTCTGACAATAAAACAAAGTTTGGTAGCCATCCTTTGGTTATTCGTTTTATGCGAGGACTATTTAATTTAAAACCTCAGTACCCTCGTTATTCACATACATGGGATGTTGGTATTTTACTTCGATATGTTAGTAAGATGGAACCATTACAGTCTATTGCATTGAAACAATTGACTTACAAACTGATTTGCTTATGTGCACTTACCACTGCACAGCGGGCTCAGACTTTGAGCCTATTCGACATATCTAACATGAAGGTTAGAAACAAACAAGTTTGTATTAAAATAACTGATTTGATTAAAACATCTAAACCGGGCAAACCTCAACCACAAGTTATATTGTCAGCATACCCGCATGATAAAAGTGTATGTGTTATGCGAACCCTCTTAGAGTATCTGAAAAGGACAAGAAGTTTTAGGGGCTCCAAGTCAAAATTATTTTTAAGTTATACAGTGCCGCATAAGGAGATAGGCACTGCCACTGTTTCCCGTTGGTTAAAACAGTCATTAACTGAGGCGGGCGTAGATGTGTCCGAGTTCAAAGCACATAGTTTTAGAACTGCCTCAACCTCGGCAGCCGCCAATAAAGGTGTACCAATTAACTTAATTTTGCAGACGGCAGGTTGGGCAAGTTCAACAACCTTCGCCAAGTTTTATAACAGAAGTGACAGTATTTTATGCTCAGAAGGAGCACAAAGTCAGTTTTCTCAGGCAATCTTAAGTCAAAAATGATTAGCCGAGCATATGTTGTGTAATAAAAATGAAATGGGTCAAGGAAAGTTTTCTTCCATTAAATAGCACGGTAAAGTGCTGATTCGACTCATGAAACAAGTGCCAGTTTAAATATGGATTTATACTGAACATCGTCAAGAGACAAAGATAGTCTTGATTTGTTTATAATGAAGTGAATACTACTTTAGTCAAAAGACAAATTAGTCTTGATTTTGTTTAAAATGAGAATTATACTGTGTTCGGTTGTCAGAGGACAAACTAGAATTTAACTTTGTTTATTATACCGTGTATTGCCAAGAGACAATTTAGTCTTGGCGTAAAAGTGTGTATAATGAGATTTATACTGTATGCAAAGTCATGTACTTTTGTCAAGAGACAAATTGTTTCGAAGTTATTAATAATGATGAGCTAGAATAAGCTCTAGAAGTAGAATGCAAAAATAAAATCTAATATATCCGATAAGGAGTACTGCAAAATTTCTCTGTGCAGTTTCTTGTTTTAAGGGACTTGATTAACATTACACTGTCCCGCTTTAAAGTCTCACGTGAGTCGGAATGGAGGTAATGGTGAGGTAGAATCTCCCAATTAAACGAGTAAAGTGATGTTTAATTAGGATTCTACCGATACATTACCGTAATAAGGAGTCACGTGACTCCCACCCAATGTGCCCAAGCACAAGTTTTGACTCCGTCTCTTTGCTCAACCCGCCCTAGTATACGGGACCAGTGTAATTTGTTATAATTACTTTAAATCACTGGTGAGCATGCCTGTGGTTGGGCCTTTTATAGGGGCACGCAGGCAGGAATTGCATTCTTTTCGTTCAATTGTGGCATACCTTTAGCTACTAAACAATACAATCTCACGTGACTCCTTATTACGGTAAGTATCGGTAGAATCCTAATTAAACATCACTTTACTCGTTTAATTGGGAGATTATACCTGACGTTGCTTGAGTAGCATCATGATTTGTCGCGTGGTTCGCTGCACGCTCGCGACTTAGATTAGCTGCTGTGGCGCGAATCAGTAGCACTATTAAATCAAGTCACCCAGTTATTCATCGTTTCCTCTTTAAAACTTGTATCTTTGTGCTTATGTTGTGATAGTGTCATAGCTTTTCCTTTTACTACTCAGTCACATAATGTAAAAATAGAAACTTGTGCACGCGGATGAAAAATACAATGTGTCCTAACATAACAATGCCCTTTGGCATAAATTGATATAACTGAATGCACTTTGTATAAACACAGAGTTTTAATGTTTGATTTCACGCTCGATTTAGGGAGATTGTTTATTTATTTTTTCTTAAAGGCAAGTTAACATTGTATACACTGTAAAAAGTAAGTTCAGTTATTAAAAACAATCTTGCTTTCAATTTGTAAACATGTTTAGAAAGCTACCAATGTTCAAGTGCGAAACATAATCCATCATTACTCTAACATGTTTAGTATTTAAACATGTTTAAAAACTGAGAGCAAGAAAGTATTATATGTGGGCAAATTTTGAGTAAGTACGAAAGACAGCAAGTTCGGGCGAGGACCATTAGACAACTAGTGGTTGGTTGATTTGTGACGTAACTTGCGCCTGCGCACTATCAGCAACTTGCAAACGCCTCGTCAGATGATGGTCAAAATCCTGGCTCCCAGTTGTGCCTACAACACACAGACTGCACGTTAACTAGGACTATTTGCAGAAACAAATTTTATTCTCCCAATCTGAGTACCATACATTTGACACTTCATTCATTTCCAAAGGAAATCTGGGTAGAAATGTGATCGGACACTACATTAAAGGGAATGTACATCATTGGCTTTTGCTGTAATTGTCAGAAATGAACTATTTGAGGGGTTAGTATAAAAGATCAAATATTGTTACACTGACATATTTGAAGTTTTGTGTTCGAAAATGCTGGAAAAACCAAGAAAAACCACAAAGTTCAAGTAGTCTGGTTCCCTGACTCCACTAAAGATGAGATGGATCAATTTATAGATGCCGGAAAATTGTAAGGTAAGGGAACCAGTCTAGCTGGCCTGCAGACGTTCATGAACATGTAACCAATAGCACACAAAATTTGGACTGAAACAAAATGGTAAATTTAGAGCAGTAGTTGAAAAATAGTTAGGTTTTTCCAACGGTGGTCGGCCGACCACCGTTGGAAATGTACACAAAAATACCATTTTCTTGAAAATGACTTAACACTAGGTGCCATAATTTTACAGTATGCTTTAGACTGTCATTTACCAACATCCTAGTAAGGTATTTGGTAAAAAAATTGGTTGTTTTGTTTTTCGATGTTTGCAAATGTTGTATATTCCCTTTAACATTACAATAAAAACTTATGAAAAGCTCTCAAAAATATCTTTCAGGGCTAGAAGTCACTTTAATTTTTGTAGCTGATCTGTGAATTTGGAATCTCATAAACAAATGTCTTCGCAACAAAAAAGGCGATTAATTGACGAGGACTGGTTTCTCGATCATCATATATCGGCCTCCTTCATACCTTAATATATTCCGTTTCCTGGAGGTCATACAAAAGTCCAAGAACCTAAATACATTCTGTCGTGTTATTCTTCACCTTAAATACAAAAGTGTAACATTTGGTAAAGAATAAAGGTTCTCTTCTTGGTTATAATTTTTTTATAGCGTCAAATTGACATGCATACCTGTATGATCAGGATAAGTTATAAAAACCACATTGCTTACATTCTTTCAGGTTGACATTTGGGCAATTCCCCCGAATTTCAAGTCTCAGTGAAAAAAAACTTCACAAATCCAAATGCCAGAAATGAATCATGTGTATCATTTTTGTTATTACGGGGAATGGTTCCCATAGGGTTTTTACACATTGTCAAAATGTTTCCAACATCAATGACCCCTTACCCTAATTTCCCTAATCCAACCCCCATGAATTCTGGTGTATTTACCTTTTGGACCATGAGCCTCTACAGGAGTTGTGACATTAGGGAGAAATTGAAATGTCTCCTCAATGTCCGGTGTCTCCCTAAGGTATAAACTTATGACGAAAAATGTCTCCTTTAGGGTACATTATCAAGAATTAAGCTTACTAGCTGTATTTCACTGAAATATAGCTTATTTCTTACAATGTTCAACAGCACAGCTGTTATTTTATAAACAAAAGCACAGAAAAACATCAATTTGTCTGAGACATCCGACACCATGGTTTTTTCGAGCCAATTTTTCTTTAGTTCAGCAAAAAATTATGGATGAAGAATTTAATTTTAAAATCACTGTAGTAACTAGACGTTTTTGAGACTTTTTTCATAACTAAAATCCACTCTATGATTATAACATTTATTATGCACACTTTTGAATTGTCCAAAATGTACGTCCAACACCATTTTCAGGTTTCATAAAGGGTGTCACTCACACTGCAAACTTCATTAAAATCATTACATTTGCAAAAAGTACTTATCACAATAGTGAAATATGATCTGGGTAAAAACCTTCAAATATAAAAGCTCAGCTAATCTTTTGTCTGAGCTTAATATCTACACAACTTGAAAACTTTCTTGATTACAGCAGAAAATAGTAACAAAAAACATCTCAATGCTAGAAAAACTTGCCAAATTATAAAAAATTTGTTTGCACTTGCAATTTCGTGCCTACTTATGGCAGACCAAAAAAAGAGTTAACAAAAAAATGGCTAAGCTCATATTTTGTCTGAGGACGAACTCATTATCTAGGCAACTTAAGGAACTCTTGCATAAACAGAGAAAACACTTTAAAAAAGATAGACATCATGACACTAGAACCAATTGCCAAATTAATGGAAATGTGTTTCAAACTATGAACTAATGCATATTTATGGCCGGCTAATAACACTTGCTGCCCCACTTCCTTGGGGAACACAAAATCAGGACAATTGTGTCAGTTTCAACAGTTTCAACTGATTTTGTTTTTCTGTGACACGGGGCTTCAGGGGACATGCACGATGCTTGTGCAAATCCAAGCTCATCCTTTAAAAATGGTCGTGAACATGCAAAAGCCTTTTGCTTGTGTTTGTAAGATATTACAACATACAATATCCTGTCCAGATACATGTATGTACTTTAAGGTAACCATTTAAAAATTCAGATATTCAGTCCAATCTTAGAAGATGAAATGTTCCAATGACTTAAGAGCCGATAGTTGTGTTGGATCATTACATCGCTGTTTCGTTGACGTCATTGAGTTGTTCATCATCAGTGAAGCTCACAACGGATCCTGGAAGCTGGATGATAAAATGAAAGCAGAAACCTTCACAATTTCTTGTAATTTCACAAAATATTTGCTTAAACAAGGACAGTGACTCACCAAAGAATTTGAACCAGAATTACTGACCGAAATGTCATGCCATGTTTAGGGCTCCTGATTCATTCTCAGCTACACTTACATGCAGGGAATTCAAGTTTGAGTCCAACCCATGAAGACTTGCTTTAGTCCCTACCCGATTGTGTTCATACAATTATCTGAGGTTGCCCCACCTCTACA